ATTATGTGTTAGTGTTCTAGCTGCAGCATGCACAGTTGCTTTGCTTATCCAAGGAAGACACTTATCTTTGTAGCCTCAAAGCAAAGTTCTTCAATGCACTGAGCTGACTAATGCAGTCTTCAGGAGTATTGACACCCATGAACATCTTGCTATATAGTATGGCCTGTCTGCTTTTTAGCTAGGGGAAACTGAATCTTCAGAGTACAAAACAGTAGGTCTAGTTATGCAGGTTTTCAAAATAAGTAGTTGTTCTGTGCAGTTTGGGGAAATAATTAATCGGAGGATTTTGTGGAACGTAGTATTATATTCCAGAATGGCAACCCTGTCAGTCTGTTGCAGCCACAGCAAAAAAAAAAAAAAAGAATTGTGATACTTTTAAATGTTACCATGTTTATCATGTGGTATAAGCACTTATGAGCCACATCTCATGAAAACTCCTACCACAGCGAATTTGGTAGCTTTTAAGCTGCCGCATGACTTTCTTGCATTGCCTTTTTGATAGGTGCAGAATGGAACTACTAGGCATTTTTAGAAAAATCAGTGCCTCTTAAATACATGTTAATGTAAAATACCCACTTGGTCTTTAAGCTGCACAGAAAAGAACATTTATTATATTAAATTATTTCTGTACCTCTTTTCTTTGTTCAAGTGAACTTCAGGAAGTGTTTTGATAGTTTATCATTTATCATGATTTGCATGTGAATAAGAAGCCAAACTGATTTTCTCCTGAGCTCTTGAGGTGATGTCATTTGTATAGGGAATGCAAAATAAATAAAGTTAAACTTTTGGGTTCTAATTGCCCCGGAATAAAAAATTTAGATTATCTCATTTCCATACATACTGTTTTGTCTGCTACATTTATACCTAATACTGATCGTCACTAGTCAGATAGTTGGTCTTGTTGATAGTGAACATTCCTAAATTGATAATTAATTAATTCTGAAATTGAATTCATACAAGTATTACCACTACAGATCATGCTTAAATCTAGTTGCACAGTGTGTTCTTATGTGGTATTGGGTTAAATGGTACATATATTATTAATCTGAATTGTTGCTTGCAGAGCAGGATTGCTAGTGCTCTAGGATGCTAAAAACTGATTATTATGTTTATGGCGCTACCATGAAGCCCCTGATCGATACTTTTAAGCCTATTTTCTGCTCTGAAAGAACAAGTCTCGTTTTCCCTGCAGCATGAGATGACACTTGAATATGATGCTCAGTGACTGATCTTAAATTTATGCTGATTGCTAAAGAAGAAATTAGCAGAGGTTGTTAATGCCAGGGGCCTGAGTCCTGTCTTGCCCACACATGAGAGTGCTTGTTTTGAATATATGAAATCATTATTAAATTTGTTTCATCCTGTTGGCCCTTTCAATACAGTGCCTCTTGCTTGCTTCATCATGTGGTTATCTTGCACTGTAAGGCCCTCTATATGCCCCTGCAAAGGGGAGCAACTGGCAGGAAACACCTCTTATCATCTTTTACCCCCCCCCCAACACCGCCAGCAAAGAATAAGTCTGAGCTTACTACATTGCGGAGGTGGCTTTAGGGCAGAGGTGTCAAACATACAGTCCACAGGCCAGATCTGGCCCCCATAGGGCTCCTATCCAGCCTGAGAGCAACTGACTCTGTGCTGCTTCCTGTTTCTTACATAGCAGCTCCTTTTGGCCAGTCTCTCCTATTTTCTGCTTCAGATGATAAAAAGAAGGCCTTCAATTGGCTGAGGACTCCTTCTCCCCCTCCTCTGGGGAGGGAAGGGGAGGGAAAG